TAATTAAAGAAATAGTTTAAACATTTAATTATTATATGTATAGTTTTTATTATTAATTATTATTAATTATTATTATTACAAAATTATTTTATGTTTTATTTTTTCGTTGTACATACATTTAAAATTCAGAAATAAAAGATTTAAAAAAATAAAAATCACACACAATTAATTGAACTTTTTATTTATTACATATAAAACAACTACCACTTTGCATGTTTCTGATTGTAGAGACATTTATGTAATTTTGAAATATATATAAATAATATTTATTTATTAAAATACCTTTTTTTTAAATAGACTAAATTTTTGTTAGCAAAAGCATATTTGGTTGAAGTCAAAGCAATATGCTGAAATTCAATTACAAAAAAAATTTTTGTTTATAATTTTTAAAATTATAAATAATTACCACGTTCGTGCAATATTACGTTATAAATACTTGAGAGAGTTTAGTTTATTTCTAAAAACAAAGTTTCTCATATTATTTTAAAATTATGCTCATCAATATGAGTTTTCAAAGATGTACTTTTTTACCATGTTTTTTTGGATATTCACAGAAACAAGCCCAATATAATACCAAAGGAATTCAATAGAATTTAATTACAAATTACTATACCAAACTATTCATTTTAAAAATATAAAATATAAAAAAATAAATAAAAATGAATATTTTTTAATTATTTCAATTTCATATATTCTATTTTGTTTATACTTATGGGTTTTTCAAATAGGCAAAATACATTCTTGGTTAATCAATATTTTTGCTGTATTTCGTGTTTTCTAAATTTAATCAAATAACAAATAAATTTAATAATTAATATAAAAAAATATAATCGTGTACGATGTTTTGCCTATTATATCTCTTTATTTTTTCTTTAAATTTCAAATGGACTTACCTAATCCGTACATATTCTGAAGTTTTAATAAATTAACTTATATTAAATTTAGAAGTAGAGGAATATATAAGTGAGATAACAATCTTAAAAGTAAATCAATAATTTTACAAGTTAGAAAATAAAACTGAAATTCACTCACTCTTAGATCCAAAAATAAACATTGCGATTACTGGAGTAAGAAATGATTTCAACGATTTATTGATTTAATTGAATATCAAAATGCTTTAATTGGAATTAATCTTTCACAATTAAAATATTTGAAATTATTAAATTATTTTTTATATTTAAGAATATTATGTTTTTATTATATTTGTTTTTCTTCATTAATTAAATACAATTTTTTAAACTAATAAACTTTAAAATATAATTATTTTTTAATTTATAACCGTGAAATATCATTTCATTTTTTTTAATTTAAAAATGTTTTATTTGTTACTGTACTATATTTTAACTTAAAAATTATTGAAAAACAAAATATTTTTGCAACTTATATTTCATACTTTTCTTTCACTGGCATTTTCAATTCATATACAAACATAACATATATGAATATAACATATATGAATATGAATATAATTTTAACAATATAAAACATTCTAAATAAACACCAGCATAACGAGTAAAGTACAAATTATATAAATATATACAATTAAGCAAAAAACTTTTTTGGCTGATTTACTTAAATTAAAAATTAAAATACAAGCACATAGAAATTAAATATTAAAAATCCTTATAGTACAAAAAACAGGATCAACATTTAATGAAAATTAAAATATTTTGTATAAATAAATTATGTAAAAAAAATTACTTGTTCATAACTTGTATTTATAGTAATAAAATTAAACACATGGAAAAGAACACAAAAATAAAATAGTTGAATACAGATAACACTTTTTATTTTAATTCAATTTTAATTTTTAAAAATAAATATTTTTTTTTTTATTTGCTTTGTTTTACTTTTTCCAAACCTTTAATGTAAATAATACAAAAACAAATTAGAAATAAAATTGGGAATAGAACTAATGTGGAAATTAAAGCAGTAAATTAAAATCTCTCTTTAATCTTCAAAAACAATGTATGTATGTGTAAAAATATGCATAAAAATTAAAAGTATAAATATAACGTAAGTATGTGAAATAACTTAAAAATTTTTATTAATATATATAATTATATAAAAGACGTATTTAAAATAAAATAAATAAATAAATAAATTGATCTAATAATTAAAAAAAAAAGAAAATTCTACAAATACGTAATATTTGGTAAGGCCACCGTATATAAAATTAGAAATTTTTTATGACTTATATAATGTTTATACATAAATATAAATAATTAAAATAAAAATATGTGTAGCAAAAATAAAAAAGGAAAAAAAAATTAACAAAAGTAAAGAACAAAAAAAAAACTCAAATTATAAAATAATTAAAATTATTAAAATATTATTAAAAATTTAAAATAAATCTATAACAAAACGTCATATTTATTATGCGAATGAATTCTTGGAACTGATTTGTCAATATTTTTTATAATAAATATTATGTAAAATATTTTTATTGTATGCCAGTAGTTAAATTTTTACATGTTAAAAAGAAAAAAAAAATCAAATATTTATAAGTCATAAAGACCGTACCTCTTTAATTCAAATTCATATAATAACTTACATAATATTTGCAAAATTAATTTATTCTTTATAGTTTCATTTCGAATGCAGTTATATAAAAATTTCATGCGAATTTAAAATAATGAAATAAAAAGTATGAAATTTAATTTAAATAAAAATATTATGAGGAATGGAAAAATATGTAAATACAGTTTGTTTAACGCAAAAAGAAAGTTCATTTCAAAAATTATCACAGTTCTAACTATGTATGTATACGGATCTATAACTAACGACAATCATACATTCTTATCATACGTTTACAACGACTATACGAAATATCTGACAACTAATTGACAACCAATATGAACTTTGCAACTAATAAATTAATTCTCAGTATTACGAATATCTACCAGGTGCTGTCAAAAGTTTAAACAATAAAAATTATAATCATGCCGTTTCCGTGCTTAATTCGTCAACAATCTGTTCTTCTCAATTTTAATATACATTCTTTTATTAGAAGTAGGTCTTCTATTGAATGTTTAAAAATAAAAATATCCAAAATGAAATATTCAATATATGCGTTATATTTTTTTTAAATTAAATCAATTAAGAAAATAAATGAATATTTTTTGATATCATCTTTTTTAATGCAATATTTTTTACAATAAAAATTTTTCTATTATATGAGCATTATTTTTTAGTTTAAAAAGTTTCTAGTTTTCTAGTTATTTTCTAGTTAAAAAAGTATAATTACAATTTGTACAACATTTATTTAAATTAATATTAACCATTTACTTGTAATTATTAAAAAGTTAAATAAAGTTATTTCAAATACACAATAGACGAACATACATATATGCATATACTTCCTTTCTCTTAATATTTTAATAATAAAAATTTCCTGCATAAATAAGATAACAAAAACAATCAATGTAACTAATTTGGAAAGTTTCATTTTTTAATTTATTTTACTCATTCATCATTTCAATAAAAATTTAATAAAAAACAAATATATAATAAAAATGAAATTAAGTATACTTTAAAGTATTTATAAAGCGACAAAATATTAATAGAGTTACAAACATTTTGGAAACATTTTAAATTGTAACTTAAAATCTGAGCATAAATATTTAAAATAACTAAAATTATAGTAGCTAAAAGAATAAAAATGTGAAAAGAAACATACATAAGTAACTTATAAGTTAAATTATAAATAAACATATTACCATTTATAAATATACATTTATAATTAAATACATATGTTTAATGTCATTAAAATTATACATGAAAATTATTATCATATTACTGACTATAAAAAATGTAAATGTAAATTGATGGAAAAACAAACTAAAACAAAAAAAAAACTCACTGAGAAATAAAAAAAATATTTTAATTTGTTGCTAATACGTTGTTTTATTCTGTTATTTCGAAATTAGTATGTTATAACACGTCATATATTATCCCATACATACATATGAATATTTTCCATTTGCATACTTTGATATTGTAACCAAAGTTATATATTGAAGTATTGCGCGCAAATCTAACCACCTAAACTATTGCGTCAATTCAAATAGAATACATTATATAATTATTAGAATCAGTTTGTAAAAAATTACAAATGTACACTTTAGTTATTTTTTTGCAGCCTTTTCCGGAATGCTCATTACTGACAAAATTTATGACTCTTATATATACGCTCCAGTACAGTCAGACTTTGTGTGACGGTAAATAGTGGAAATTACTCTAATACCATCACACTTACTGCCACATTTTTTTAAAGTAAACTGGCGACAATAGTTTTTTTATGGAAGTTTATAACACCAATCATCTGACTTTTATATTTGGTTATAAGTTATAAGTTTCGTAGAAAAGTTTTGACGTTAATTGACGCCATCAGACAATTTTAGTCTGATATGTAAACATTCATCCAAGTTTATCCCAAATTTAATCTTAAATATTGTCATGTATGTAAACACTCCTTTACTTTATTATTGTTGACGTTTCGACAGAAGAACTCGCATCGCATATCGTTGCTAGCCCAACTCTAACCCAGCATTTACACGTACAAGTTACTTGCAAGAAAGTTGCAATACATACAAAAATTTTACTAACACATTGAAATATTTCTACTTGCTTGTTTACTTGCAGTTCAACTTGCAAGAAAATTTTGCTGCCAGTAATTTGAGCAAGTAATTTGACATATTGAGAAATTAACAAAAAAAAATTTGTTGTTTTGATTTTTTTTTTTTTTTAATTTAAAATTTTTGAATTTTCTTTTAAAAAAATTAAACTTAGCAAACTTATGGTTTCTAAAATTTATAAACAATTATATATATTGCTAGTTGTTTTCTTCTCAAAGACATTTTCAAAAATTAACTTGCTAAACGCCTACGTCATAATAGCAAGTAATTTGACATTTCGAAAAACTAATTGACAATTAATATTATACAAACTTGCTTGCAAGTAACTTGTATGTGTAAATGCTGGGTAAAAGATAATTTTATTTTTTTTTTTCTCATTTTAAAATTAATAAACAAATAAAGTACATACATACAAACGTAATGTTTAATTTATATTTTTATTAATACATATAGTGGAATTATAAATATGAAAAAGAGGACAAATAAAATAAAAATGAATATTGGACTGAAACTATCTACCAAAGTTTTAACAAATGAAAATGAAAACATGGTGTCCTCAGTGATAGCAGAAACCTTTATATCTCCGTTTGTAACACAAATAATAAAATTAAAATGAAGACAGGAAGTTCTTTACAAGTAATTTTAAAAAATCAATGAGAGTATAGTTAACATCAAGAAATAAAAATTTTTATTTCTTAATAATGCTATTTTTAGATTACTTTTTCACAATAAATGTTTTAAAATGACAACGAATGTTCCCAAAGGTAAAAAGATTAATTTCTTGATTTTCACTTTCTACTAACACATTAAAAATATGTAGTTGAACATACATGGATGAGTGATTGCATTAGTGTGATGCAAACGGATATCAGAACTACTTCTTAGATAGATTTTGGTTAAAATTCAATTCAGTAATTCACTCATCAGTGCATGTAAATTATTGTCATATAAGTGTACACAAACTCTGGTAACTCTTTTCAAATGATAACAGTGTTATATGTATAACACAATTGTTTCCTTTTAAAAAAGGGATCTTCCCGTAAATTATTTGATAAAAGATATTTTCGATTTAAAAAATATTTCATTCAAAAGTGAACTGCCAAAGATATAGTTATTTAGACGGGAAAGTGAAATAATAAAGGAGTAAGTTTAATTTTTTGTTAATTAAGTATTAAATGCATATATATATACATATATGTATGCACATTTGTAAGCAGATAGTTTAAAATCATGTAAAATAACATAAAGTAGAAATAAAAAATACGAGTCATAAGAATGTACATATGTATATAGGTATATAAATCTATGCATATACATATGTATATGTTGTGTATCTAGCTACATATCCATACATAAGCACATATACCAGCATCCATACAACGTAGTAAAAATCAAAAGAATGTGCAAATATTTTTCAAAAATTAAATCCATTGCAAGTTAAAATTAAAAAAGTTCTTTGTAGAAAAAAATACAATGTGCAAATAAATGTACATGAGTGTGTGGTATTTCATAGAGCCGTCTGCACTTAATACATAGTACATATGTATTTACATACCTACATACATTAATATCCCAATAATTTAATAAGATGACATGACTAACGGTTTAGTATCCTTTGCAGTTATTTAAATATTTTCAAATGCATTTTTAATATTCATATAAAAATATTTAAATTTACAACACATGCACTTGTAATTAAATATAAAACATGCAGTTTGTTTGCATTTAAATCTAAAAATCTACAAATAATTGTAGATTTTGGAGTAATTATCTTAGACTTAGACCACGCACGGCGCACTTCTCGTTTCTTTTACTGTTTGATCCTCAGAAATTGCCTGATTCCATTAAAGCTAAGTGAATTTTATCTTTCTGAAAAAGGTGAAATTATGGCTGTTTAATTTTGATCTTAATCACTCTATAACTCATATCAGTTCCCTTTTCTCTTAACTATTCTATATTTTTATTTTTAATATTTCTTTTTACTATTTCTTTTTAATTGTAATTTGATCAAAAATTTAAAAAATTTGTTAAAATATATAGTTTAATACACATATTAATTTAGCAGCGACGAAAAGTTAAGCTTAAACAAATAAAACATAAGTATTTAAATTTAAAAACTAAATAAATCAATTTATACTCTTATGATACAGGAGGAGTTATCGTTATTGAAAAGAAAATTTAATATTTACAAGCATGCGTTTAGGAAAAATTGACCCCAATTCATATTCTGAACCCGGTAAGTAGTACAAATTATTATTATACAAAGCATTAAAATAATGTTCTTTTTTAGAAAAAGTTGTTCTTAAACATGTTGAAATTCAATGGGTCGTTGACTTTGAAAAACGTTGTCTGATTGGGGATGTTCTATATGAGTTTAAAGTGCACGCACCGAATGTTACATCAATCGTAAAAACAAAATAAGTATTTTCTTTTTAATAGTAAAAAATATATTTTATTTATTTTAGTTGCTCGATGTAAAAGATATTACTATAGTTTCTGTACATCATTGTCAATTTGAGTCGAAAACCGATGCTGAATTTTGTGTTGGAGACTGTGTAGAGGGCATAGGCTCCAAATTAGAAATTAAACTGCCACAAAAAAGTAAAGGAGTGTAAGTCGTATTTTTTTTTCATTGCTTTTATATTGTATTAATAATTATTAATTAGTGATCATAATTAATTTTTTTAGATTAAATTTAAGAATTGTCTATCGAACTTCGCCAAATGCCAGCGCTCTTAAATGGCTAACACCTGAACAAACCTTAGGTAAAAAGTATCCGTATCTCTTTTCTCAATGTCAACCTATTCATGCAAGATCAATTCTACCTTGTCAAGATACACCGTCAGTTAAATTTACTTATAAAGCAGAAATATATCACCCTGAAGAGCTCAACGTGTTGATGGGAGCAATTCGTGTAAGTAATCAAAATGGATTCGCTGAATTCGAACAAACAGTGCCAATTCCTGCATATTTATTAGCAATTGCAATTGGGAATTTAGTTTGTCAAAAAATAGGTCCTATATCAAATGTGTGGGCTGAAGAAGGAATAATAAAAAAATCTTTCATTGTATTTTCCGAAATATCAGAATTTATAAGTCTAGTTGAGGGTATTTGTGGACCTTACTTATGGAAACAATATGATATTTTGGTGATGCCGCCAAGTTTTTCAATTGACGGTGTAGAAAATCCGTGTTTAGCCTTTGTTAATTCAACATTAATAGAAGGTGATACATCTTTGATAAATGTTATTGCTCACGGAATTGCTCACAGCTGGACAGGAAATTTAGTAACAAATAAAAATTTTGAGCATTTGTGGTTGAATAAAGGTTTTACTGCTTTTATTGAAGAAAAGATTATTGGATCTATAAAAGGTGACAAAGAACGCGACCTTCTTTCAATAAGAAACTTATTTGAATTAAAAAAATGTGTATGTTTGAATTACAATTTTGCGAAAGTTTTATAATGTTATAATTTTTAAATAAATGTTTCAGATTCGATCTCAATTAAAATATACTCCACATTTGAAAAAGCTGATAGTGGACCTTTCTAATTCAAAACCAGATGATGCATTTTCTTTGATTCCGCATGTCAAAGGTTCAATATTTTTAAGGTATATAGAAGATATGTTGGGAGGCCCAAGTATTTTTGAACCATTTATGTGTTCTTTTTTTGAAATTTTTAAATATACATCCGTTTTAACTGGGGATTTCAAGGCTTATTTGTATCATTACTTCGGTGAGAAAAATTTGGACGGTAAACTTGATAATATTAATTGGAATTTGTGGTTACATGGAGAAGGTATGCCGCCTTCTCTACCAAAGTAAGTTTTAATGACTTTACGATAAATAAAAATTTATATTTTATTTACTTTTCCACATCTAGATTAGACGATTCTCTAGCAATAGTTTCATTAAATCTTTCTGAGTTATGGAGTTTAAACAATTATGATATAAAACTTTCCCTACAATCGCTAGAAAAAATAACATCGGAACAATTAATTTTTTTTCTAGAACAGTTGATAAACCGCTCTGAAATAGTAGAATTGAATGAAGAAAAAATTCTTTTATTGGAACGCAAGTACAATTTAACATCTAATAGAAACTCCGAGGCAAAATTCAGGTTTTTGCGCTTATGCATTCGTGCAAAATTAATGGATCGCATGGGTGAAATAATTGCTTTTGCTAATAGCAATTTCAGGATGAAGTTTGTTCGTCCAATTTATCGGGACTTAGCAAATTGGCCCGAAGCTAAACCTATTGCTATTGCAAATTTCAACCGTGTTAAGGATCAAATGATGACAGATTGTTCAAAACAAATTGCCAAAGACTTAGGTCTTACTTACAATGATTCAACAATTTGGTGTGAAGTTGATCCTATTAATGTTCAAATGACGGCTGTTTGCTCAACACTAGTTGATCAAAATTCTGGCCTTAATTGAACGAAAAAATTGCGAATATTTTGTATTAGACATGAGTTTAATAATGACGTTTTTCTAAAGAGTAAAATACTAAAGAGAATGTATGACAATATTTCACAGATTGTTAAAAAAAATTTGATAAGTACATATGTTTTACAGAAAAAATTAAATAGAAATTAAATATTATTGTTTTGAATTGTTTTTTATTACAAAGTCTTTGATTTTCAATTTTATAGTATAATAAGTGATCTAATATTTTATAACTTTACTAATTTTTTTTAATAATTGTCTTATAAAAAAGTTTTTCGTTTAAGTTTTGACCACAATATTAATTATGTACATATATTCAACGGAAAATCTCGTAAATAGCGACTACATTTAACACCTGCTGAGTCTATAAAACGTTTTTGTAGAAAGTTTAAAACAATTATTTAAACCTTGGCATTATAAAAAAACAGTATTTCTGTCAGCCGTGATTTAAACCAATATTAGTTCATGTTTTTTGTTTCAAATTTTGTGGAATGAAATATTTATTAAATTCTTTTATAAACCAAAATTTCCCATCAAAATAGCAATACTTATACATTAATTGGTCGTTCGTGAACGAATGTCATTATTCTCGAATTCGCCTAAATGGTATTATCGTACGGGAAACGAAAAAAAATATGTATATCGAGAGAAATGTCAAAACTGGGCATAAGTCGCCTATGATTACTTTTCAACAGTTTATAATACTTTAGGACTTTATGGAAATTATTGTGAAAAAAGGTAAAACATTAGTAGGAAAATAAATTAATTTTTAAATATTTATAACAAGGTAAATGTAATTAAAAAATTTTTTTAATGAACAATGTCAATGCAGCATTTATTGCATGTAGTGAAAATATTAGTTTTTCTTTATGGCAAAACAAAAGTAGCGTTTTTTTAAAGTAGCGGAAGTTTTTAGTTTCGCATCTAAAATTTTGACACTATGTAGAAATCGTAAATTTGCGTATGCAAAAGTAGCAAAAGTGGTACTACAGAATACTACTTTCGCATACTTTTCATTCGAATTTTATTGCGAAAGTCTAAGTTTTCGAAAAAATAAAACTAAGCAATGTAAATCTTAAATTTAATTTAATTTAATTTTTTTATTAAATTAAAAAAAAAAACTTGCACTTCAAATTTAGCGCACTTGGTTATATTTTTATAATCAATAGTTATAATCATAGGTCAAAATAAAATACAAAAACATCCCAGTTGACGATAATGATAAAATTCATGTATTATTCGAAATTTTTGAATGGATGAGAGAAACGACTCTCTTATAGACATTGCTTTTTTCTAGTTTTATTTTTATGGGGCTAAACTTTTTTCCTATAGCCTCACAAACTTCAGTTATAATAAGTGAAATAGTTTGTTGAGCAAGAGCAATATTTAAATCTTAACCTACCTGCTAAAAATCTTATGCAATCCATATTTTATTAAAAAATTAACATTATTTTAAAATAGTTCAATTGTTTACTTTGAAAAAACTGTCTGAAATGGGAAAAACAAAAAATGTTAAAAAATGCTGCCAGTTTAAATATTTTGCGTTGCGATTTTTACATAGTACTTACGACTTGCGGTTCGCAAATTAATTAGAGCAATTTCGCATTTTTACATAGCATTTTTAATTAATTTAATAAAAAATGTTGATGTTCATAAATGAAAAATGTTTCATTCTTTTAACATAAAATTTTTGACAAATAATCTTACTTTTATAACCTATATTATTTATTTTGTTTTTTTCAATAACTTCAGATATAATTTTTTAAATCTCGACAGCAACGAAACCATATATCATTTCGGCGAGTAAGTCATTCGCTTCGAGTAATAAGCCTATAAGTCAGGGTTTTTTTAATTTTTTTTTTATAAAATTATACATGTTCTGACCATATACATACTTATTTTTTTCGTGCTATAGAGTCGGTGTAATTGGCCTAAACAGCGGGCGTTTGTATGCAACATTATACACCATTGGTTAGAGGATCAAAAATGGATAAATTTTACCCTTGTGCTTTAACAATGTTTTCTCTCTGAAAGTACGTAAATTATTTTTACTACTGTTTAAATAAACAAAAAATAGTCTCCTGGTTTGCACTCTTTTCATGTCTAAAATCTTTGATGATCAACGGTGTTGGTGGCTTTCGTTTTAGCTAAAACGTAAACAAAAATATTTATATTCAACAAGTGATTATTATTAACATAAAAATTTATTGCAACATATTGATGGAAAACAGCGCTATCGTTACTTTCACAGTTGAACTGCTGTCATGGCTGTCAAATTTTTTCGACGGATTTGTTTACCGTTTAAGAATAGTTATAATTTTGCAAAAAGCTATTGCATTCCGAAGTGTGATCATAATTTCGTTTTGGTGAGTTTTGTTAGTTAATTCAAAAGTATTATAATCTTAATTTTTATAGATTATATACATATGTATTTTTAAAACACTAGGTTAAGTATCAGTTAAGATAACACATTAAAATATACATATACAAATTGATATGATAAAGTGTGAAAGTTTTCCAGTGTTTATCTCAAAATATTTCCCATTTTGGAAAAACCTTTTGCAGTCATTTTGAATCTTTGTGGTTTATTCGCACACATATAATGCTAACACATGACTATATGTAATATGCATAGTAATTTGGATTTCACATGGCGATGGCATATCATTGCTGACTCTAAGTATCACGTCATTTAAGTTTTTATGATTTTACAATGAATAGCTACAATAAATTGTACGTGATTTTTTGAAGGAGTAATGCAGTGATGGGGTTTTTTGGAACCTGAAAAGTTTTTCCACTTCAAAATGAGATTTTTTTTATAGTTCAAAGATTATCACCTATGCATGTACATATATACATATGTTCACCTTTTGGTTCATATGATTTATTGTTATGCACCTTATATACAATTTGCGTAAAGAAGAATCTGCTAAATCATCATTAATTATTGATATTTTAAATGCATAAACTAATGTATCTAAAAAAGTTTTGAGAAGATATACGGTACGGAAACTTATTAAAATGAAAAAAATTTGGAGACACCATTCCAAAACAAACTTAGATTAAATATTGTTTCAGTTTTGCGATAATATTTGTGTGATTTCAGTCATATGCGCATTTTTTAATAAAATACGTCCTGTGTTTTACAAATGTTTTTTGAACTAAAAAAGCAAAATCAGTTGTAATTAAAGAGAAAAATTTGATCAAATATTGAAAAAATAAAACTTTCTTAAACTAATATATTTTGTTAATGTCGTTTTGAGAAGGCTGAGCTATTTTAACTAAATCTCACAGTTGATTTTTTTTTCAAGCATTTTATCTCTTACCCAGTCGTCTAATCGATATTCAACGAACGGATACTGCTAAATTTAAAAGTTTAGAAATTTTATTATAGAAAGTATATATGTATGCAAGTAAAGCAATTGTATTTTCAGAGACGATTCGTGGAACCGAAATATATTTCAACTAGTTATCGAAACAAATTGCTACAATATAGTTCATGCATTTCAAATTCTGTAAACATGAGGTTAGGAAAAATTGATCCCAATTCATATTCAGAACCTGGTAAGTAACATAAATAGACATTGTTCAATAAAATAAAGAATAATATTATGGTAATAATAAAAAGTAATTAAATATAAAAATAATTGAAAAATTTATTCTTGTTTAGAAAAAGTTGTTCTAAAGCATGTTGATCTTGATTGGACTGTTGATTTCAAAAAACATGTTTTGATTGCTACTGCAATATATGATTTTGTTATAATTGAAAAATCACCAAAGGGTCTTTCATCAATCGTAATAAATTTATGATTAAACATTAATTTAAATTTATTACGAACATTGTTATTAAACAAATTTTATATATTTTAGTTGCTCGATGTAAGAGATATTAAAATAACCGATGTATTTTGTATTTGTTCTGGGACGGAGATCCCTGTAAATTTTTTCGTTGGAGATCATGTAGAAGATATTGGGGCCAAATTGACAATAGAATTGCCACAAGGAAGTGAAGAAGCGTAAGTAGTAATTTATTTTTAATATATGTATATATTGCATAAGCATAATTAAATCTTTTAGACTCAAATTAAAAATTGTTTATGAAACTTCATCAAATGCCAGTGCTCTTCAATGGTTAACACCTGAACAAACCTTAGGAAAAAAGCATCCATATCTGTTTTCTCAATGTCAAGCTATTCATGCAAGATCAATTCTGCCATGTCAAGATACACCATCAGTTAAATTTACTTATCGAGCAAAACTAACTTATCCAGAGGAACTCAACGCTCTAATGAGTGCAATTCGTGTGAGCAATGAAAAGGGAGTTGCAGAATTCCAACAAACGGTACCCATTCCTGCATATTTATTAGCAATTGCAATTGGGAATTTAGTTTGTCGCAAAATAGGGCCTATATCACATGTATGGGCTGAAGAGGGAATAATTGAAGCTTGTGCCTTTGAATTTTCTGAAACCTCAGAATTTCTTAACAAAGCGGAGGAAATTTGTGGACCTTACGTATGGAAGCAATATGATTTATTGGTAATGCCGCCCAGTTTTCCATTTGGTGGCATGGAGAATCCGTGTTTAACGTTTGTTACTCCTACGTTATTAGCTGGTGATAAATCTTTAGCAGATGTTGTTGCTCATGAAATTGCCCACAGTTGGACTGGAAATTTGGTAACTAATAAGAATTTTGAACATTTCTGGCTGAATGAAGGATTTACTGTTTTCATTGAAGCAAAAATAGTTGGCCGGATGAAAGGTGATAAAGAGCGTGATTTTCATTCAATAAGAAATCTAACTGAATTGAAAGAATGTGTATGTTTGAATTCAAAATTAGCTAAATTTTTAAAATGTTATGATTTAAAATCTTTTAGATTCGAACTCAGTTGAAAGATACTCCACAACTCACAAAATTGGTAGTGGATCTTTCTAATTTAGGGCCAGATGATGCATTTTCTTCGGTTCCTTATATTAAAGGTTCGACTTTTCTTAGGTATATGGAGGATATACTAGGTGGTCCTGACGTTTTTGAGCCGTTCTTACGATCTTATTTTGAAACATTCAAATACAAATCCGTTTTAACTGGGGACTTCAAAGCGTATATGTATGATTATTTTGGAGAAAGAAATATGGACAACAAACTTGAAAAAATTGATTGGGATCTGTGGTTATATGGCGAAGGTATGCCACCTTTTCTGCCAAAGTAAGTTTTAATGACCTTACGATAAATAAAAACTAATATTATTTAAATTACTTTTCCCCTTCTAGATTAGACGATTCTCTAGCAATTGTTTCATCAAATCTTTCTGAGTTATGGAGTTTACACAATTGTGATGATATCAAGCTTTCCCCACAATTGCTAGAAAAAATAACATCTCAACAAATAATTGACTTTTTGGGAAAATTAATTGAATGTTCAAATATTGTTGAACTAAATGAAGAAAAAATTCTTTTATTGGAACGCACGTACAATTTAAAATCTAATAGAAACTCTGAGGTAAAATTCAGGTTTTTGCGCTTATGTATTCGTGCCAAATTAATGGATCGCATGGATGAAATAATTGCTTTCGCTAATAGCAATTTTAGAATGAAGTTTGTACGTCCAATTTATCGGGACTTAGCAAATTGGCCCGAAGCTAAACCTATTGCTATTGAAAATTTCAACCGTGTTAAAGATCAAATGATGACTGTTTGTTCCACACAAGTCGCTCGAGATTTAGGTCTTAAATAATTTCAGAAATCAAAAAAATACTAAAAACTTTTTCATAAAGGATAACAACTTCGATCGCTTTAATTTTTTACTATATTGAAGGGCAACACTTCTTGGTTATGCAACAAAATTTTCTGTATTGGTTGTAAACTCTTTTGTTTTGCAATCGCTTAAAGTTTTGAAATGAAAATCGTTTTGATCTTTGCTTAAGCTGGATATTTAACGTCATCAAGGTTGGAAGAAAATATTTCTAGCGAATTTGCTCACAGTATTAAAGTACCTTCTAAATGTAAACATTTAGTTTTCCACTTTTTGAAATTACAAACTTTAGCTTTTATTTGATAGATCATACTTTATTTCATTCTCATGTGTTTATATACCTATTTTAAAATATATCGATGTATTTAAATGTTTAAATGCAGGGCTAACACATTTAACCGAGTTTATAGCCAATTGTGTAAGGTGATTATTTAAAATATTTCCTTGTGTGCCCAGGGAAGTACGTCACATAACATGCTAAAAAATTTGGCGACATCGAAGCTGCTCTCTTTGTAAAAATATTAATTACTAATAATCGTAAAATTTTAATGTCAATTGCCTGATAATGTTAAAAATTTTTTTTTAAATCATTGTGAATTTACATATGTATTCATATATGGACATATGCACTTTGTTAATCATTTGTTATTTTTGCATTATAACTTTTTCTAAGACTAAAATAAACTAATTTTTAATTGCATTTTAAAGAATTTTGTTTAATATTTGCAGTATTTCCTAGATAAAATATGCATATGCTAAATGTCAATATATTTTTATTTTGCAAATATATTTTTTAAGACAAAGCTAATGTTGTGCAATGGTATATAATGATCCAATGACATGGGATTTCAGTATTACCTTAAATTTCAATATTGTCCTTATTTTAAAAATTATGTGTTCTAATAATAACCTATTACAATATCGTGTGATGCGTTTTAGGAAATGCGGGAGTAAATTTTAATCCTGCGTTCAACAATCTCATCATCCATAATCTTAATAAATTTCAATTAAAACTTATTTTTTAATAAATTGAGATTTAAAAAAATGAAAATACGTATTATAAAATATCTATGGAAACTTGCCAAAGTGGAAAAAATTTTGCACAAACAAAAATATGTTTTTCCTGATTTAAAGTAAGTTTTAAATAAGAACTTATAGCATTTTAAAACTTTTTCCAAAAAGGTTCACCTTATTTTTTCAACTTTAAGAAATAATTATAACGAATTTTAAAAATACTGCTGGCACGCCAAGGATGCCACGAAAATGATATACACATCAATTTATTAAATTTTTAGTTTTTTTAATTCATTTGATAAAAAGAAAAATTTTGTTAACGTAAAAGGAATTTTTTAAATCACAAGTTCAAATAAGTTTGAAAACAATAAAAAAATAGCTCGAAAAAATAAATATTTAAAAGCAAAACTTGTTAAAAAATAAAAAGAAAACTTTAAACTTAAAACAATCCAACTATACAAAATTTGATATAAGTATATAATACTTAAAAATATTATATAGAATAGGAAATTTAAAATGAAAACTAATGCAATTATATATCTAAATTTAGAGTTCATTTACTGGTAGTTTTTCCTGAAGCTCAAAAATTTTGCTCATTATCATTATATGTATGTATCTACTTTTTGACCTTTCTAGATTTTAGATTTTGTTGAAATATTTGTTTTTCGTCAATGTACGATATATCGATTCTCAGTTATTTTTAATCTTGTGTTTTGGCAATTACTACTTTTTAAAGATATTACTTTTACTTCGAACTGTTCTCCTTCATTTTCGGGATCTTTTAAACATTGACTAACGCATCTATAAAGTACAAAAGAAAATTCAATGATGTAAAATTTTCATATTATTGTATTTTTACTGATATTTTTGACTTTTTAACCTGGATTCCTTGTATAAGCAAGAAACATCATTTTTTAATGGGATTCAAAGCTGAACTGAAGCTGACGAAGTCGATAAAGATGGCAAAGAAGAATACACATCATAAAAATTTAATCTTTGCATATTATTTGGATTTCAAGCAAAGCCTAATGAACAACATTAGGCTTTGCTTGAAATCCAAATAATTTCAAGCAAGCCTATGAACAACAATCAAATTAAGGTTAATGTTCAATCTACGGATGAATATAGAGAGTTAACCAAATTTGCAAATGATGTAAAAATTGAATGGCACAGTTACGAAAACAAACATAAACAAGACCGATTAGGGTAATGGTCAAGAACTTACACCAATCTTGCAACCCAGAGGATATAAAAAACGAACTTCTAAACGAAGGATTTAAAATCACCGAAGTGGTCAACAGATTCGTAAAAAAAAGACTTGATGACGGAAAGGTAGAGATAATCAAACTGCCTTTATTTATGTTATCGTTCGAAAACACTGAGGATGTTAAAAAAATTTATAACATTCAATATATTAATCACATGAAAGTTAAAATCGAACCTGTCAAATCCAACAAACTAATCCCTCAATGCAAACGCTGCCAAAGGCACGGCCACACACAAAAATACTGTCAGAGAGGTCACATTTGTGTTAAATGCGCTGGAAACCATGCAACCATCACATGTACAAAACCAAAAAACACCCCGGCAAAATGTTCAAACTGTGTACACCCGCATCCTGCAAACTACAGGGGGTGTATTGTCGCTAAAGAGCTCCAAAAGAGGAGGTACGAGCAAATTTATAACAAAAAGGTAACGCAACACAACCGGCCCAATAAATCCGCAAACGTTATACCGGGAAGGTCATACGCTAACGTCGTGTATGATAATCATAGCGATCAAGATAATAACAATAATAATATTACAGAAATGCTTAACAATGTTATGTACATGTTCGAAGTTTTGTCAACCAGACTTGACGCTATCGAAGCAAATACAATAGGAGCTGTAGCTCTCCCGCAACCATGATGACTCGTAACGACATCAGAATAGCAGCCTGGAACTCAAATGGAGTAAACGGCAAACTTCACGAATTCGAAGTCTTCCTGAACACGCAAAAAATTGATATCTGTTTATTGTCTGAAACCCATTGGACAAAGGAGTCATTCAAAAAATTTACAGGCTATGAAACGTATTCAACTCACCACCCGGACAATCAGGCTCAGGCAGGTAGTGCAATTGTTATCAAGGAGAATATAAAAATTTACGAGGTACCCTGTATTCAAAAAAAAGATATCCAGCTTACAATTCTTGGTATCAAAACTATGCAACAAAAACTGTCGGTCGGTGCAATTTACTGTCCGCCCAAATACGATTTAAAGAAACCCGATTATCTGAATATTCTTCAGGCTATGGGGGACAGATTCATTATAGGCGGCGATTTTAATGCCAAACATGTCGACTGGGGTTCCAGATTAACAACAACGAAAGGTAAAGAGTTAAGAGCGGCAACGGCTGAATTGGGCTGCGACTTACATAGTACCGGTAAACCAACGTACTGGCCCACAGATCCCAATAAAATCCCCGACTTGTTGGACTTCTTCATCTGTAAGAGAGTGTCCTCAAATTTCATAGATTTGAAGGATAATTATGATCTGAGTTCTGACCACTCAGCAGTCATTTTAACACTGAGCGACAAAATTATTTCTAGGGAAACTAAACCCATGTTGACTAACAATTCCACGAATTGGTGTAACTTTCAAGAGCAGTTAGAAAGGTCAATCAACTTAAAAGTTAAACTTCGCACGACGGAACAATTAGAAGATCAAGTAGTAAAGTTTACAAATGCGATTCAACAAGCTGCTTGGAGCAGTACGAAGGAATTGAGTTTAAAAACGATAAGAGTTAACTATCCCATAGAAATAAGAAATTTAGTCAATGAGAAAAGAAGAGCTCGAAGAAGATGGCAACATACTCAAACAAGAACTTACTTAACCGCAAAACTCAACAATTAAAAAGAGAAATACGCAAATTAAAAGAAACATCGACGCAGAGTTACCTGGAAAAATTATCGGCAAATGAAAAAGGCGAATACTCCTTGTGGAAGGTCACAAAAAATTTAAAAAAACCTATTTCTCACATTCCTCCAATCCGGAGAAACAACGGAACTTGGGCGAGAAATGATGAAGATATAGCCAACACATTTGCAGAACACTTGGCAAACATTTTTAAACCTAACACCTATACCCAATACTTCCGCACATTACTCTGGTTACCCAAGCTAAAGTTAGAAATGAAATTAAGTCCAGCTGTAAAAATAAGAAAGCCCCAGGATTTGACCTTATTACAAACGAGATCCTTAACAACCTACCAAAAAAAGCGGTAACTATGCTAACTTTTATAATAAATGCTGTTTTTCGCTTGCAACATTTCCCCAGCATGTGGAAAGTGGCAGAGGTAATTATGTTACAAAAACCTGGAAAGCCGCCAAACGACGTAAAATCCTACAGGCTCATTTCACTCCTGCCATTGATCTCTAAGGTTTCCGAAAAAATTCTTCTGAGAAGACTAAAACCAATTATCGAAAGTTCAAATATCATCCCCAACCATCAATTTGGCTTTAGGGAGAAACACTCAACGGTTGATCAAATTCATCGCATTACAGATGTAATAGAACAATAGAGGTGTGGCATGCGGGCCTTATGGTCAAACTTGGAAACTGTTTGCCTAAACAGTATGTGAGTTTTTTAACATCATATATGTCTGACAGGGTATTCAGAGTAAAGGTAAGAGACGAATATTCAAATTTGTACAACATCGAAGCGGGAGTTCCACAGGGTAGTATCCTGGGCCCCATCCTCTACCTATTGTATACATGCGACCTTCCGGTACCAGAAAACGTTGTTGTGGCTTTGCTGACGATACAGCTTTGCTAACAACCGATGCCGACCCAAATAAAGCAGCAAGCAAATTACAAAAGGCCAGCGACCTTGTCTACGATTGGACAAAAAAATGGAACATTAAATTAAACGAGATAAAGTCAGTTCACATCAACTTTACAAATAAACATATAAACCAGCACACACCTATCTACATAAACGGCACAATAGTCCCATTCCAGACAACCGCAAAGTATCTAGGGATGACTCTAGACACAAAGTTAAAGTGGAAAGAGCACGTCAAAATAAAAAAAGCCGAGCTGAATCTGAAGTACAGCAAACTTTATTGGCTATTGGGTAGAAACTCCAAGCTTTCAATGCGTAACAAGATATTGATTTATAACCAGGTAATAAAACCAGTATGGCTATACGGCGTACAACTTTGGGGATGCGCAAAGCAGACACATATTCAGAAAATACAACGGTTCCAAAACAAGGTTTTGAGAAACATGGTCAACGCACCTTGGTACGTTCGTAACTTCGACCTTCACAGAGATTTAAAAATTAATTTTGTCAAAGATGAAATTGAAATTGCGGCCAATAAGCATAACAACAGGTTACGAGATCACGTCAACGCTGAAGCCAAACGGCTTCTTGACGAGTCTCATATCACAAGAAGACTCAAGAGAACCAAACCAATTGATCTAACCAACTTCTGTTAACTGGCACATATGGGCATGCCTGATACATCAGATTCAACTTGGGGGGACCACTGGGTTACCTGAAGTTTACATTAAGTAGCTTATAAGATCAACAAAATAATGCTGATGGTTGGTCCTTTGGGACCAGTTTTAGTTACAAATTAAAAAAAAAAAAAAATATTATTTGGATTTGTATTAGCTTATCTATTTCAACTTCATTGA